AATTTTTTCATCTTAAAAAGGAGCGACATGTGACATATAGAGCATATCTATGATTCAGAGTCTGGGACAGGATTGTCTGCACATGGCTCTCACGTGGCTGAGCAAGCAGGTAGCAGCTGACGGTGCTAACCCAAAAAACAGTGCTAACAACAGCAACAATGCTGACAGCAGGGATTGTAAAGACAGAGACAAGTCAAATTCAAGGACTTATAAGTATCTTTTCAAGCAATCGTTTTTATTTTTGAGGTTGAATTGAGGTGGGATTGTCTGCACATTGCTCTCAACATGGAGGTGGCTGAGCAAGCAGCTACCAGCTAAAAGTGATTGGTAAAGGACAAAAAAAGCAGAAAAGCCGAGAGCTCATACCGCCCATATTTCATTTGACATTAATTGTAAGCACAGCCGTTATTTGCTTTATACGTTTAAACAATTTTCTGATCGCTCATAGAATAATTCATCATTCTGTACTCCTCTCAATAATTCCTTTTTTTCTAGGATCAAGTTAAAAAAATGTCTGATTTTCAAGGTTTTCCAGTACTTAAATTTCTGAGTGCCAAATTCAAGTACTTAAAGCACCTTACACACCTTGTACGAACCCTGGGAGAGAGTTAATGGTGTTAACATGGGGGGAGGACTGGATGGTGGGTGCTACACTTCCGTGACAACAATGCACCGATATTAGTGGTAACCACTGTAAGAGCACAGCGCAGAGTGGCGGCGATAAGCTAGCCAGGATACACTCACATGCACGCAGACACAGTCGGATCGTCTACCACAATAAAAAAACAGAGAAGCTCAGATTACAACACACACAGAGGATGTGTGACTTCACTCTCTGCTCGAGATGCTATTACTTCAATCTATCTTTACATCACAAATAATGGTTTGCTGTTACATTACTGCTCTAAATGTCACACACAGCTCCTTTAAATTAATGTATTCTTTACATGATGATAATTTCTCTGCTAAATATAATTAATGTGCTTGCAAAAAAAAAAGTCTCTTTTTATTTTCCAATTTGACTTTGACTAAACATTTACTAGCTACTTATGGAACAGGAAGAGGAGAGATTGTTTAGTTTTCATTGTTCAGGTCTTTCACACATACAGTATTTTGACAGATAAGACTTTTGAATCAATGATTTTATTCATCACATGCCTTTAAATCTTTTGTCATCACAGGAGAGTTAATTTAACATGTTAGAGCGTTGTCACTTAGGGAAGTTTGATGAGCAGCAAGGGAACAAAGTGACATAAATAGTATCTGTTCAACATCTGCCTAAACCCTTCTGCGGATGTACTTTTAACAGAGTCAGTATATTACTGTTTTAAGTATTTAAAGGGAATTGACACTAACTACACCCAGGATGAGGTTTTTACTATTTATACGTTTATTAACACAGCGTCTAGTATCAGCACAACAATGTAAAGATACAAGTGAAAGCCCTGCATTAAAAAGTAAAAGTGCAGAAGTATTGTTAGTAAAATGTACTTAATATATCAAAGGCAGAGTAGTCATTCTGCAGAGTGATGTTGCCTTATATATGACATCATTGGATTGTTAAAACTGATCTGCTGACCTGATGCTAACTCATATCTAAGACACTTACTGTATCATCATTGATAACAGCCATTTAATGGCCTGATAACAGCCAAATCAGCCGTGAATCATTTGTTAGTAGCATTTTATTGTTATAGCTGGTGACCTCACTACCTCATATGTTAGGTAGTTAAGTCAGGTGGTTCCAACCAAGGGGTTGGGCTCCTTCAAAGGGTCACAAGATAATTCTAAGAGGTCATGAGATGATTTATGGGGGAGGAAAGGGGAGCGTATCTATGTTTCCAGGGTTCTATGTTCCCCACTTAACCCTGCAAAAAAGGTTCTATGTTCCCCGCTTACACAAAAAAGGTTCTATGTTTCCCGGGTTCTATGTTGCCCGCTCAACCAAGCGGGAAACATAGAACCCTTTTTGTGTAAGCGGGTGACGTAGAAGCTTTTTTGCAGGGTTAAGTGGGGAACATAGAACCCAGGAAACATAGAACCCTGGAAACACAGGGATGACCCAGAGGAAAGTAGGAAAAAAAGTTCTGCTACATAAATTCATATAAAGTTTTTGAACTTTTGACATGAAAAGGAGCCTGGCTAGTCACTTTGTGAAGAGGCCGCAAACCAAAAAGCTTGGGAACCACAAAAGACAACTTTGCAAACGTCTCAAAGACTTTAAATTTGGATGAAAAATTAAAGGTGAAAAAAATCTTTTTTAGGTTGTAGATAAAACAACTTTTAAAACCATAGCAGGACATCTTGATTAGATTTTCATACAGAGGTCATTCAACGCCTCAATGTTTGCTGGGTTCCGGTTTCAGGTTATACATGGTCCAAAACAGGTGTCCACCATGGGCTAAATATTGGGACAACACATAAAAAAAAAGAAGTAAAATGTTATTCTGGAAAGTAACTATAGCTGTAAAATAAATATAGTGAAGTAAGAGGTAAAATATTAACTCTTGAAATGTGGTGGGATGGAAAGTATAAAGTAGCATTAAATCGAAACACTCGTGTAAAATAAAATGCAGACACAACAGTACTCAAGTACTGTACTTCCTGCAGGGGACATTAACCATAGACTGTGTGGACCTGGCTACCATGATGTCACCCACTGGATTGTTGAGTGCCGTTTTGAAGCCTTAAGTTCGGCATTTCGACCGTCACCACCTTGATTTTTGAAACCAGAAGTGACCCTATCTGGACAAGAGGGTGGAGGTGTGGAGGAGCAAGGGGTGGATCTGACTCATAGGCTGTAGCAACACCGCAAGCGGCCCTACCCTTAAATATGCACAACTTTAAGACTTGATAAAATGTAAACAGGTGAGTTACATAAAAATTCGACCCCCCCTTACAGTTGTCATGAATGGGGAAAATAGCCATAAAGACCAAAATTGTTTTTTTGTACCAGCCTGTAAACATGTTTATTTCTGCTAAAAAGTTGGGCAATTTAACATTGAGGTCTATGGGGAGTGACTTGTTCCTGGAGCCAGCCTCAAATGGCCATTCAAGAAACTGGAGTTTTTGGCATTTCACTTTGACTTCATTTTTCAGCCCTGGAGGGTGCAGCTTGACATTAACAAGCAGAAGAATTTTGGAAAACTAAAGAGGGGATTTTTTTTTTTTTTAAGAGATAGAAATTCTTCCACAGCACTCTGGCCTCTGCCTCTGTCTGCCTTTTATCCCACTTAATAGCACTGAGAAAGATCTCCCAGTGGACCCTCAGTCCCCAGGATTCCTTTTAGCCTCACTGACCTTTGACCCATGTTAGACTGTTTTAGTGTGAATCTTCCCTCATTACTCTCACTTTTGCACGTACGATATGCGTCTCTCAGAGGCTGTCTAAATGGTCTCTATGATGACCAGTCACTGTTCTTTCATTTCCTTCTTCCAGTTTATTGCAGTGGTGTTATGTGCACAGTGATGGCCTATCAAAGCCAGCCCTTACGTGATGTCCAGTAACTACACAACAACATTGTATGCCTTTTGATCTTGTTGATATAAGAGTTATATGAACGTTCTGTGTTTTGACAAAGAGCTGCAGCCCTACCTTAGAATTCAGCAGTTTTACTCATCAGATCTTGCCAATGGAAACATTATTTTATCCGCTGTGATTCATCCTTTTGTGGGTTTGTTGGCGCCTTATAGCTTTTCCGCTCAGACACGACATCTTGCCTCGTGTATCAGCACCCAAAATGTTAGTGGCCTGCACCCGGGTCCCTCCACGTGCACTGTGCCAACACACAAAAACATGTCATGATCTTCTGTCCCAGATACACGGACAGATACAGGAACACCCTGACGCTGGCCTACAGACACACATTCACACCCTCAACATAACAGGCATTCCACACATTGGAGAAACATGCGAAATCACCCATGAGGCTACACGCTGAAGGCTTCCAGCTGCTACAGCCTCCCACACAAAAGCTTAAACTCACTGTCTTCTTAAAGGAATGGACAATTAATATCTCACCTCTGTCTTCGAGCTTGAGGCTGTGTCACGTCAAAAAGCCAGAGGGTGAAGCATCAGCCGACACACATGCCATCCCCTCCCTCCTCCCCCATAACAATATTCACTTTCTCTGTCCCACCCCCTCTTTTCCTCACTCGTTTTTCTTGCTGTTTTGCTTCTTGTATCAAATTTCTACCGATTCTTCCTTCTCTCATCTAAAGTTATTTCCTGTTTTAATTTTTCAATGTGGTCTCTCTGTGCATCTGTATGTCTGTCTTTGCTTCTCCGCTGTACTGGGGGTTTCAACACACACACACACACAGAGCTTCCTGTGAGTGTGGGGGTGTGGTTTACAAGAATTTTTGACACCATGACTTCTGCTATTATGACTATTTTCTCTCTTATGAGCAACATTGATCGGCCATGTGTGTCCGCTTCTTTTGATGACAGTTGAAAACTTAATATAATATCAGGACTGAGAATCAGTACTAAAAGTAGAAACAGAGAAGTACTTTTGGGGTCTTTTTTTTTTTTAACTGTTGTTGGTTTCTTTCTCTCACATATTCAACTCTGAGATCCTGAGATCACTCAACACAGTATTGTCAGTAGCTTGATAGCAGATAAAGTTTAATGCAATGCTGGAGTATGACAGGGAGAAGTGGGTACATTTTGGTGGGCGGATCAGACAACTGGCAGTTCTTCCTAAGGTGGGCAGCACACATCTGCCCGGTGGTGGGGGTAGCCTCGGAGTTGGCACAGACTTAGATTTAGCAGATGCAAGAGGAGGTGGGTGGGTGGGTGGGTGGGGGGAGATGACTTTTCAGTTTGAAAGCCGACCTCAGAACCTGGCAGTTACAAAGCTGCTGCAACTGCTGCCAACTGTCTTCACCACTTTGCATTGTGAGAGGAAGTACAGCCAAAATGAGTTGGCACCTGTTTTCATTCGATGTCACCCAAAGGAAACCTCACTATGAAGCTGCACAAACAACACAACACCAGATAAAACACACAGCGCTTTTATTTACAGAACATTTACATACAGCATTGACATTTATGATGTAGCTTATTTAAAGTTGTTGTATTTTTATGGTAAGATAAACAACCAGCTGTAGCTTATGTACACAAGGCCACTGTGATGATGTTCACATAGATATTACTGTGCACACACTCATGAAACACATCTGTTCAGTTGCTGATTGACAATTTGTTTGTTCTAAAGTGGTGTTGTCCGGGAGAGTCTTCATGCTGGGGTCAAAGCTCTTCGGGTCAGTTTGTATTCAGACAGCTGTGACATGTGAAATCATCTCATCCAACTTGGATCTTGTCAGTCTGTTTACAGGATTTCACTATCTGTCATCTTTAGCCGTGTCATTCTCCTTAGGAAAAAACAAATTAGCATCTGAATAATGCTGCTCCCTGTCTGAGCAGCTACTCTCCATGCTCGTCATTCTGTGCTGTGTGGGACGCTGGATCGGGGAGCTGATCGGGGAGGAGAGGAGCGAGGTGGTGAAGGAGGAGGTGCGCCTGGTGAGGTGCAATCTGAACTCTGCATTCAGAAAGTAATAAAGCAGAGGGTTGAGGCAGCAGCTCAGGCTCGCAAGGCACAGAGACACCGGGTGGAACTGATACACGGCCAGCCTCGTTGCACAGTGGGACACTACGTCCTGCGACACCATCAGGTAGAGCAGGAAGTTGAGATGGTAGGGGGCAAAGCAGAACAAGAAGAGGGCAGAACAGCTCAGCACCATCCGTAGAGCGCGTCGCTTCTCAGTGTTTATCTGCTTTTTGTGGTATTTATCCGTGTGACCATTGGAGGTGACTGACTGGATTCGGCTGCGTGCTGAGGAGTTGAGTGTGGTTGAGTTTGCATTCTCATTTTTTTGGTTGAGGGAGCGGGTGATGCGGATTGAGCTAAAAGTGATGCAGGCCAGAGGAATAATGAAACCAAACAGCTCAGCAAGAGCTATCATGGTGACAACCAGAGAGAGGGACAGACGACGCATGGGCAAATCCTTAAAACAGCCGTCTTTGTTAGAGCTGTTACTGCTGCTGCTCCGCATCAGGATGAAAGGCGAGCAAGCCAGACCGACCACCACCCACACTATAAGACTGATCAACAGGTCATAGCGCCGCCTCCACCGGCGAGCTGAAAATGGGTCAAGCAGGAAGACACATCTCTGCACGCTGATACACACCTGGAAACAGAAAAAATAGTCGCATGAAAATTCTCGGCCACATTCAGAGCCACATGAGGTAAATTTGTTCCAAGAACAGAGAAGAAGGGAAGCTTAGACATGAAGGACTTCCTGTTATAAATTAACATTTAACTCCTTTTAAATAGATGAATTAGCTGTGGTTTGAGTTCCCATGCTCCCTCTAGTGTCCTCACAGAATTTAAGCATTACTTTTCCTTTACTGCCTGCTTACCAAAAACACTATAGCGGCGTACATGTTGAGGTATTTGAGGTAGAAGCAGAACAAGCAGATGCCTCGTCCGAAGGGCCAGGTGTGTGTGAAGTAATAATATATCCTGAGGGGCAGAGAGAGGATGTGGGCCAGGTCTGCTAGTGCCAGGTTTATCATGAAGATCACAGCCTTGGTCTTCTTACTGTGGAGCAACATGCAGAAGAGTTAGCCATGTGCAGATCCGTCTGTGTGTGTGTACTTGTACTTATGACATAGTGGGGACAGGACCACATATTTAACCAACAGTGTGAGGACATTTTTGGAGACTGAGGACATTTTTGGAAAGTGAAGACATTTTGGTCTGTCCTCACTTCTTCAAAGGCCATTTAGAGGGTTAAGAATCGGTTTTAAGGTTCAGGTTACAATTAAGGGGCCACATCAGGGGCCCGGGCCCAGATCAGGGTACACTTGAACCCATTGTCCTGTTTGTTTGATTAGTGTCAACACTGTGTATTTTACCCAGGCACAGTATGCCACTCTGTGCCCAAGTCTGCTTGAAAAAGGGGTCTGGAGTACAGTACGGTGTATGGCAGGCATCAGATGTAAACATCAACTATACCAAAACACGGAAGTGGACTGCTTTTAAAACAACTTCAAGGAGTTTTAAACTGGTTATAAACCAGTCTCAGTTCAAGCTGGGGAAAAGGGCGGAAAGCTCAGAGCCCGACAGCAGTGGCTCCTCATCTGACCATGAGTAGAGCTTCCCCTTGCTGGTCAGCTGGTCCCCACAGATGACAGTCTCTGCAGCAGTGTCTGTTTGTGGCGCCCTTTTAGAAAATGTAGCACAACAAAAATGTTATGAAGATGATGACGCAAGTTTTCTTCGGGTACGAAACAACATCAGTAGTGTGAGAGTTGAATGGCGTGTGAGTGGAGAGGGGGAGTGAATCGTACTTGGGCATGATATGAATCAACTGTACCTAATACGAAAACGGCAATGCCCTAGTTTGGAGTTAGGGTTAGCCATTTAGATGTGGAGATAAGGGGTTAGGGTAAGGGGCTAGGAATGAATTATGTGCGTGTGTGTGTGTGTGTGTGTGTGTTTACCTAATGTGTTTGCAGAGGACCCAGAGAGCAGTGGTGTTGAGCAGCAGCCCGGGGATGAAGAGCAGCAGGTAGAAGTAGGTGTACATCTTATCCATGCGCTGGTCCCAGCTGGTCATGTTGTGTCCACAGGAGGAGTTGGCCGGGGACTCCTCCCACACTCCAGACATATTCGGAGTCATTTCCTGCCTCATACAAACACTGATGGCATAACTTAACAGCAATTTCCTGTGATCAGTCCATCATGTCACTCACACACCCTGAACACCTGAAAGAGAATAAGGAGAGATGATTGGTAGTGGAATAGATACTCCTGCATAAGCATTATTTTCTAACATAATATTTCCAGTAAATCCCATTTGTTGGCACCATTTGTTAATAAGATCCCCCTTTGCAAAGAATGTATATGTTATAACTAATGGCCTTTTAACACAATTTAATGATGGTTTGTGGATTGGTTATAAGCTATTAATAAGGACATTTGGGTTGCCAGGTTGTGAAGAAACTCTCTTGGTCTCACATAGGGTCCATCAGTAGCTGTTCTGGAGCTTTTGGTTGTGTGCCATGATCCTCCTCAGCAGATGAAGTTTGTCCACTTGTCACTGAATTGAATAATAATAAAATGTCCATTTTTTCTGAGTATTTTAAGAACTGCTTAAAAAGCTGGAATTGAAAGTTCATTTTTTTAAATTGGAAACAGCAGTCTGCAAAACAGTCTCTACAGCCAACTGCTTCCCAATTTCAAAACTTAACTTTGAGTCTCAATCCTCCTGTGGTATAACACTTTTTTTTTTTTTTTAGCTTGCTCTTTAGTTCATCCCCCCCAATGGTCTGTTGGACTACTAACCTTCTGGAAAAAGGCTGCAGGGCATCTGGACCACAATCTGTTTTTAACATCTTATTAACATTTACAAATCCAGACAGAATGTTTTTGGATTCCTTACTTTCTAAAGAAAAAAAACTGTTATGTTTGCAGTTTCAAATGAAACCACTATTACAGGGGCATGAGTTTCACTTTCTTATAAGCCACCTGATCTACTTATATAGATAGTCATATACAAAACTGATATCAAAATTGTAAGACTGCAGAAGCTTTGCAATGTAAGTGATCAGAAATGTGCTCTGCTAATAGTAAGTATAAAATATCTACAGTTATTTATTTTTTACATCATCAAAGGGACGCCACTCAACCTTTAATAAAGTTTTTTTAAAAAAAAAAATATTTCATCAAGTCTGCAGTTGTAAATGTTGATATGTAACCTAGTTCATAAATGTATTTCAGCCAATATGCAGCCTTTTCCCAGATGGTAAGTGGTCCTAAAGTCTATTGGAGTGATTTCCCTGATGCACTGAAGAGCTAGCAGCAAACAAAAAGCAGGTAATCATGCTGGTGGAGGATAAACAGCAGCCAATGAGATTTACAAAACCTGGCAACCCAAACGTTGATGTGATGGCTCACAGTTGAATGATTTGTCAGATATTAATCAAGCCATTAGTTGAAACTAACTGCCTTATTATAAAACGATGCTAAAATATCACATGAAATATGTTATAGGAAACAAATTAAACATCAAATTCACATAGTTCACAAAATTTAACAGGAGTATGCAGAAAGCTGAGGTGCCACAGTTCTGGTATGTATCATCTGGCTGAATCATGGCTTGGCTTTCTTAAAGTATGACAGTGTTTGTTTTTGTCTGTGCCACGTATTTACTGGGTGCCAAATGAAACAGGGTTATGAAAAAAACTGATAGAAAGTGTAGTAAATCAGAAATGTCTCTGGCCAAAGATTGCAGCAGGAAATGTGTGCAAGCAAGACAGAGCATTTTCTCTTCTTATCACAGAAATATCACCCTTCCTTCTGCCATCAAGACCACACCACACCCTTCCTTTACCAGCCCCAGAGAGGGAAGAGAGAAACAGCAACAGTTTGTTTTTTAACTGCTTCACATTAATTTTCACCACTTCTGACTCCTCGTGTCATTTTGGCTGTTGGGTCTGTCAGTGTGCCGCAGTCAGCCAACAGATTGCCCCATGTTACCTGCTCAGTTTGAGTTGTGCAACAGTGCGCCCACAAACTTGAATTTAAGGAAGTAATACGCAGGTTTGAGGGAACTTGAGAGGATAAATTGGTGACTTGCATTTTCTCAGCGTTGTTGCGTGAGAAAGATTTGTCAATTTTAAAATTCATTTGTTCAGTTTTTCAAACTTTATGTTTCATTCTTTAAGTCAAATCAATGATGAAACCACCAGATAGTGCTGCAGTGATATGATTTAGTCTGCATGACAACAAGACAAAAATTCTTTTTTTTTTTACTTTTTTTTTTTTTTTTACCTAATTCGAGTTTAATAATGCCTGTAACATGAAGCTCGTAATATGTGCACACTGATACATTTTGATATGCTGTGAAGTGAAAGAGGATTTAATACCAAACCTCCTATTATCAGCAAAATGTGAAGCATGACATTGACCACAAATGTTCAGACAAAGCACAGCAGTGCATTATGTCTCTGAACAAAGACTGTGCATTTACCTTTTGCTTCTCTGTCGTCTCCCTAAATGATCAGCATGGATGGAGGGGAGAGGTGAAAGCCGGGAGTGACCACCAGTGACCGCATGCTCCAGCAGCTTCACGTTTCTCTGCAAACAGCAGCCTGATGCACAAACGCGCTCCCCTCCTCGTGCTGTGCAGTAGCAAACGAGGTCAACGGCAAACCTTCCTGTCGCACCAAAAGCAGCAGAGACCTGTCTGTCAGTGTGTTGATGTGAACAAGTCAGCTTTTACTCACCACTGATGTGGTTTCTGCTTGAATGCACAACATGATGGCGTCTGCTGTGGGCTGTTCTCGGTTTGTTATGTATGGTGATGAGGGGAAGGGGAAGCTCTGCCCTCATGCATGTGAGTGTTTTTCTACCGTTTGTGACGTCACTCTGCCCCTAGCAACTCAGCCAAAACTTAAGATGCACACAGTATTGGGCAGGTGGAGGGTAAGTGAGAAAGAAAACAAGATGACAGCAGTTACTGGTTGAGACATTGATGTTAAAGAAGACAGACAGACAGGAAGGAAGATGTTAGTTCCTCGTATCTCCGAAGTTTTAAAAATGCAGGTGACTTGGTCAGTGGACACAGCTGAGTCTGGGGACATGCAGTTTATAGGTACGCATCTACACTGCTATGTGGTACTGCAGGTTAAATTTACTCTCACTTGCATGGTGCAGTGTTTGGAGATAAAAAATGCAGCCGTCCGCTTCCCCTATCAGATGCTACACTTCCTTTTTTAAAGCTGTTGTTTATCAGAGTGTGATTTTGTAAGATAGATCTGTCAGGATGTTTCATTTTGCTTTAGTCCTCTGAACCCTTCCCTGAGGTCACTGACAGCAGCAAGTAGCAATTTGCCCTCTCGTGATACACGTATGGTTTCAGTTGTGTGTCATGTATAAAGAATAAGTTTTCACATGTATCTGAAATGCAAAACCACAGTTCCACAAAATGGCAGCGGTTTAATCATCCTGTTAGTTTCACACCGCCCTGTACACATGAAGTCACACCCAGAGAAAATGACTTACTGACAGGTTCCCAGGCCTGTGCCAGGCACATGCACATCGTGTCTGCGCAGTTCAATATAGAGCCAGGACAGACAAGGTGATAATCAGTACACATGCTGAAGGCAAAGGAATATAGTTAACAGCCAGTAGAGTCTAATCTGGTGCTAAACTTTCTGTCCTCACTTACGGCCACTAGATGTCAGAACAGGCCAGTACTCAAGAGTTAAGTCACAGTATGCATTTTTTTTCCTTCTACAATCACAAGAGCAGATTGCTCCATTAAAGGACACATTTAAGGGCTGAGTGCCTTCTGTTGCAATATTTCAGTACATTCTTGACATGAACCACTTGACGGGTAAAGGCCAGTTCTTTAATATTTTTCTACCCTCCCACTTTCCTTACTGTCCTCTCTACAGTACTTCTCCCCACTCCAGTGTATTAGTCGTCCTCTCTGCTACCCTTGACCTCAAAATCCCAGAGGAGTCTATCTACTGTTGTCTCTCTGTCTCTGTTGCTGGATACACATGGTCACATCACTCACACTACCAGAGAGCACTACTAGAATTACTAGTTTTTTTCTGTCTCTCTTAAACACTCTATACATACTGCTGCTGGAGGTATAGGGGCGTATGACATTTCCAAGTAAGGCCACGAATCTCTAACTCTGCATGGCTCTTTGAAAGAATGGATAAACAACTTGTAACAACATCATCTTGTATAATGTCCCAGTCAAAAAAAAAACAGGTTTCCTTTCCAGTGGGAGTCTTTAGTATGCATACAGAAACCTATAGACACTCCTGCTGCTGGCCCTTATGGCAGCTCAATTCACTGTCACTGTTAAAGGCTAACACACAAGCAAGCCAAGAACATGCTAGGGACAGACCTAAAAGCTCCCTGGGCTTCTTTTGCTTTCTGTGTAGTCAGTTAGCAAGCTTGTTAGCTCAGCTGCTGATGGGAAAGATCTTAGTTTATTAAAAAGTATTTGTACCATTGACACCTGTCTCACAGCTGTGTGTTATTGCTCTCTCTGAGAATGGTTAAAGGAATACTTCACCCACAAAACAGTCATTTGTATATATTAATTACTACCCCGTGTTACACTGAATACGTAAGGAAAACTTACAGTAAACAAAGAATCAAAAATCTGAGAAAATTTGATGAATTTAGGCAAAAGTAGGCTACTTTTAACAACAGCAAAACTATATCAAAACATGCAATTACAAACTCTCACACAACTTGTGCAGTATAATCCAAGTCTCTCTTGGACTCTCCAGCTCTCTTAACATTCAAAGCAGAATCCAGTAGTCTGCTATCAGTCAACAAATTTGCATGTCAGAGTTCACCAAAGTTGAAGTAGGTGTGAAAGCAAAGACAATGCCCATTACAATTAATTTGATTTAACTGTGATTTTGCCATTTTAGTAATAGAAGTTTATGTACTGATGACATACTGATGACATACTGATGACATACTGGATAAAAGTATTCACCACTCATCCCACAAATTCATACACGCGAACTCAGCAAACAGTAAGAATTGCTGACATTAGTGTTTTGCTCTACGTGCAGTGTTAACACCAAGATTTTGGGTATTTAGTCAACAGTGTTCACCCGTACTTTGGAGTGTGTGGCCATTGCTGTGTGTAAGAGACTTTGAGCAGATCTGCAGTCTAAGGCCAGATTAAGACAGAGAGACCTCATTCAGAAGCAAACAATGGACCATTGCTCCAGTCATAATAAGCATTTGGCCTGTGACACAGCACACAGGCCAAGGTTCTCCACTGGATCAGAGCTGCCCTCTGCTCCAAGAACAAGATCGCACTGATCTGCTCCATGAAAATGAAGAGCCGGAGTAGAAAAACTCATCCATGAGTTCAAACCTACAGTCATGCTAACAAAGGCCAGCTCAGACTCTGTTTGACCGCACCAACGGGCACAAGGCTGTGGACAGAAATAATAAATGTGGCCATGAAAGGGATTCAAAACAGACATTTAATGGCCTCAAACGTCAACATGAGACACATTTAACTCAGTAGGTCAGCGCGCTGCTGTGTTACAATAACAATGGGTCTCACCACACTAAAAGTGACATAACATTAATGTCTAACATGATATAATGTGCTGTGGAAGCTTGAACTTTATGACAATAACACTTAAGGGCTCAGTGTGTTACAAAAGAACTAAACAGCATATTTCAACAATGTGGACGGAAACCTCCATTCTGTCCACAATCCAGTGCATTTGTGAGCGTCTGTGTGTGTTAAGCCTGAGTGATGATGTGTTGCAGTCTCTTTTAGAGGCTCTACGTGTCTCTGGACAATAGTCCTGGTGTGGCTGGGTCTCTGATCCCTGTAGTGTTCACTCATAATAAACACACACAGATACATTCCTCTGCTCTCCAGTGGTGGATTAATCCGTAAAGCCCAGGCCATACCTCAGGACTTACCTCAGGACTTAACTAATCTGCTGAGTTATGTGTTTGTCACTTCCAGGACCAAACAGCTGATTGCTTTATTTTTCAAATTCAGGGCTCCTGTCAAACCCAAACTGTCCTTCTTTACCTTCCTTCTCTCCTGCTGAGTCAGAACTGACTCTCAGACGTCTTTGACTCTTTCCCATTGCTGGCCAGAGTGTGTGTGTCTCTAGGGAGAGTGTTTCCTGTGTCTTGGGTCTCAGTGTCGCTGCGGGGGATACTCTCAGGCCGGGAGCCTGTCCCTTTGCCTCCCATGGTCAAGCTTTTCTGGAAGCTCTCTGATGTGAAGTAGTAGACAACAGGGTCCAGGCAGCAGTTGAGGCTGGCCAGGCACAGAGTGATGGGGTAAAGAGTTCGGGCAAAGCGCTCCACAGCGCAGTTAGCCAGGGCTTGGGTCCGCACCAGTGCATACAGGAAGAGGATTGAGTTATAAGGGACGAAGCAGATGATGAAGATGCCCAGATGGACCAAAATCATCCGTAGGACACGTCTCTTGCTGTTACAGCCGTGACCAACAGTCATTGGACGCCGCAGCGTCCGCAGAACAAGCGAGGAACATACCAAGTTGGCCAAGAGAGGGAGGAGGAAGCCCACAACCTGTGAAATAAATAAATTGCATAAGAAAACTTTATGTAAATGTGGAACATCTCTACTATGTTTCTGGTTTCCTTAATAAAAGAAGTGTATAAATGGTGTATAAGGTAAAATGTGCGACTCTCAGAGTCTGTCTCTCCTCACTCACCTCGATGAAGATGGTGATTTTGGATAGGTAGGTCCTCCAGGTGCTCTTGGAGAAGCCCTCAAAGCAAGTGGTGGCTCTGTTTGTGCTGTTAATGGTGGAGAAGAAGGTCACTGATATTCCTCCCCCTACGATGGTCAGCCACACAGCGGCACACACCAGCGCCGCGTTCCTGCGTGTGCGGATGGAGCGGGAGCGGAAAGGGTAGACTATTGCCAGGAAGCGGTCTACACTGATGCAGGTGAGGAAGAGCATGCTGCCGTAGATGTTGGTGATGAAGGCTGTTCCTGATACTTTACACAATCCATCTCCGAATGGCCAGTGGCGGTTAACATTGTAAAAGACCTTGAATGGCAGCGTAAAAACAAATACCAAATCTGATAACGCTAAGTTAGTCATAAACATTGTGGTCTCGTTTCGCATCTTCATCCGGAAGCAGAACACAAAGAGGGCCGCACAGTTGGTTATCAGGCCCAAGACAAAGACCACACTGTAAACCACCGAGTACAAGTTGTACTTGAAGGAGTCATCAATGCCGCAGTCCTCCATTCCGGTCTCTTTGAGCACCAGGCTAGCCATGCTGACGGCTTAGACAGGGAGGAGGGTTCTACAAAAAAAGGGTACACCAAAGCTGTCAGGAAAGGGGGGGGGGGAGTCGGGCGGATATCTGGGGACAGGAGGTGTCAGCAGGGGATCCACCAGTCAAGTCTCCTCCAAGTCATCGTGGACATTCGGACACACAAATGGAGGCAGACAGTCAGGATGCACGGCTGAAGGGCTGGTCAGTCATCCTGTGGAGAGAAGAGGAAAAGCACACGGTCACTTCCTCACTATAAAAGTTACAGCAAAGCAAACAACTCCAGTTGTCCATAGGATGAAGCATATGGTCTACTCACGCCTTATGCCATTATACTTAAGGTATACCTTTGTTACATTATTCTTTATAACAGTAATGAATGTGTCTTACATCCTTTACAGTGAAGTAAAGTAAAGCAGCATCCAATCTAAATCAGTTGTAGAGAGGACAGAAATATTAGAGATGCTTGAAAAAACACTTTTTAGCTTGTTATTGGTAAAATTTCAATGTTTTTCACAGCTGTAACATTCAGTGTATCCACATAGCTGTGAGTGTGTGCGTGCATTTTTGCAGTTCATGTGTTATCTGTCAGTATAAATAAAGTCCCATCTGTCCACAGGGGTTTAGTTCACATGGCAGTGTGGCACGCGGCCCTCAGGCTGTCATCAGGACTGTGAGTGGTAAATGATAGTCAGATACAGAGACATGTACTGTAGATTAGGAGGTAAAACACACTTCAGCTACTTTCAATCATGAGCTAATGTTAAAGAGCTCAATGTAAAATCCACTTTAAACCACAAAAGTATCTAAGACTAACTCCAACTAGAGAAAGCAGCAGGAAATCGTCAGCCTGTTGGTACAAGAGCAGGGCTGCTCCCACCACCACAGAGCAGTGTTGTCATGAAACACAATAGATTTGCTGTCAAACATGAACAATTAGAGGGATTTGACATTGTGAAAGACAATTCATTTTCTAGTTATTTACTCAAAACAAGATGTGTTTGTGAACGTGTGATGTCAAAACAGGAACTAGATTGTTTCGAATGTGTTGAGTTTGAGCGCTAACTATCTTATTTGTCACAGTGTTATATGAACACACTTGATATTCTACATCCACAATAAAGTTAATTGTTTTATTGCAGAAGTGATGACCAAAGATTTGTTGATCACCTCATAAAAATGCACATTGTGTGTTTCA